CTTATTAAGGTAAATGAAGGATTTCACTGGCAGCATTAATAACAATTAAAATTAGCAAGAAGGGGAAAAGCCTGAGGAACACACAGGGACTGAGTGTACCCCGGTGCCAGGCCCTTAAAACATAGAAAATACCCATTTTTAAGGGGAAGATATTCATCAGGGGCTGGCTACTGGGTCTGGAGTCTGTTCCCAGATTCATAGGGAAATTTTGTACCTGGAATCTCCCTCTTGAGCATTTTCCCATCTCAGCTGAGTTAGTCTGCACTCAAATCTCTAACCTCACTACCCATCACTGAAAAACTGGGATAAAAAAGTATTTTTCCAAGATACCATCAGCAGCTGGACTGTGGGTTCTTCATTCTGAAGCCATCAGAAAACATCTCTTCACTGGACCCACGAAGCTGGGAGTCGGCTCCTTCCAGAAGCTCTGGCTGCTCCTCAGAAAGCTGTGGAAGTCAGCCTGGAGACACCTGTGGCCAAGTGAGTGAGGGACAGACAGCTCTCCAGGAGCTAGGAAACACTGAGGAGACACTTGGGTTGAACACAGAAAGAAAATTTAAATTTAAAAAAAAAATGACCCAGAATGGCACAATTTGCAGAAGACATTGAGATTTGATACAGTGCCATTGGTTACATTCCCTTTTTTCCACTCGTTATGTTCCTTTTTGGGTTGTTTGTAACACCCTGCACTCCCCATTCCCCCAAACCAGGGGGATCATCCCATTTCTGTTCTGTAGAGGGGAAGTGGCTCCACACTCACCTCATTAATTAAGGTCCTTTAGCTGACTCCACCTTTCCAAATGTGGGGTTCTGAGTTTCACCCAATAAACAGAGCAGCCACTTTCTTTAAAAAGGCCAAGTGTTTATTTTTGTAGGGAATAAAAATACCTGGAATCCAAGAGAGACTCCATGGGACAAACAGAGAGAAAAGACACAATTTTCCTCTAGACAAGATCAGCTTCAAGCAGTGCAGGAACTGAAGTGCCCCACAGAGCCCTCAGGGCACAAACTGGGGCTCACCCCCCACAAATGCCCCTCAGCAGTGACACAGACACAAGCAACAACAGGGACATTCCCAGCCAGCACTACACATGGTTTTAGGGACATTCCTACAAGGATCAGGTTGGGGATGCCAAGGAAAATCCAGCCAGAGGATGGGATCCAGTGCCGAGTTACTCCAGTAGTTTCTGCTACATTAAATAGATGGAAACATAGAAATGATATAAAAAGAAACCCCTTGGTCCTGCCCTGCTCCTGCAGCTCCCAGGGGGTCACAGTAATTAATGTCATTAGCAAACTTGCCCTAACGAATGGCCCAGCTGGCTGCCTGGTCCCAAGCACAGGCTTTACCATCCCCTGCTTCCTCAGCTAATTAATCAAGTGCTGTGTGATAATTAAACAAAAATAGGACATTCAGAGCAGGTTCTTCCCCCAGGGAATGCCTGGATGTGTGTGAGGAAGGGACAGAAACAGGAACAGCTGGGAGAGATCCCTATGAAACCAAGCCCAGCCCTCAGCACAGAGCAGAGGGGGTGGGAGGAGAGGAAAACCCCTTTGGAATGTGCCTGGGCATTCCTGGATATGCAGCACTGCATCCTGCCAGCAAATTCCTGTGGGCCCTGAGCCTGACCAAGGCCAAGTCTGCTAGGAGCTGAAGGAGCCTGGACCAGGAGCTCTTCCCTTTCCATGGCTTTTCCTGGGGGTGCCTCAGCTTTGGGAGCACCTCTGAGGGCTCTCTGCTCCCAGAGGTGATGGAAACAACACCCCCAGGGCTGCTCCTCACCAACATTCCCACCTGGAGATCCTGTGGAGCTCTGGGCACCTTCAGCTCCTGCCAAATCCCACTCTGCAGGACTGAGGAAGCTCCTGAAACTTCCCAGCTCCTTCCAAGCCCATCTCCTTCTCCATCCCAGTCAGGATGGCTCTGGATCAGAGCAGATGGACTTTCATTCCAAGGAATTAACTTGGAAAGGCAATCACTAAGCACAAGAACAGACCAAGAGTAAATCAGACCTAAAAGCTTTTACAAACTGCTTTTCTTCACCCCTAAAGAGGCCATGGAGAACTAAAACAATGGACAATCCAATTATTCCCACTTTTTCCCTGCAGAGCAAACAGCACCAATTGGATTTTCTCTTCCACAGGTGACAACTGCAAAAGAAAACCCCAATTTAAGAACACACAGAACAAAGCTCACATTTAAGATATTTCAAATGAAGCTCCATTAGTCCCTCTTGTGCTTCAGAGTAGTTTTAACACAGAATATGACAGGCCCACTACAAGGTTACACTTGGTTGTAGCACAGGAGACACTGGGAAAGGGCAGGAAGCCATGGAATGTCCTGGTGAAGCCATGGAATGTCCTGGTGAAGCAGGAGCAGCTCCAAAAAAGGAAGAGTTTTCCACAAGCAGAGCTCATCTGCAGCAAATCAGATCCCTCTTCCCTCCCAGTTCTCCCAGTCACAAGAATCCAAATGGAAAGAACTGCACTGTTCCAAATAAAAGCAGGATTTCTGACTTCACAAAGCATGGCTGTTCCCCTAGGAATAAATCAGTTGCAGAAACTTTCCCCAGCAGTAGCAGATCCCAAATAGCAGTAACAGTTTTTCCATTCCTTCCACACTTCCAGGGAGCAGAGGATGCTCCAGGAGCAGGGAACAGAGCTTTCCTGGGCAGCAGAGAATGCTCCAGGATGCTCCAGGAGAAGGGAACAGAGCTTTCCTGGGCAGCAGATCCCAGCTGAGCTCAGGACACTGCAGGGCTCTGAGCAGCTCTTCACTTCTGCTCTTCAAACAGCCCAGAGCTGCCACCAAAACCAAAAAGCTTCTCGTTCATTTGTTTTCAAACCATGGGCTCATGGAAAAAGAGGAAACCCTGGAATCTTTTCCAGCTCCTAAATTCCAGCATCAGCATGAAAGCCTTTTAATACTCTGCAGCCTTGGCCTGAGCCTGTACACATGAAATCCAAGAGGTTTAAAAGACATTAATTTTTGGATTTGGCTCTGTTTTGCCACTGGAGTTAAAAGCAGCAAGATCACTCCAAGCTTACAACACTGAGTAACCTGTGGTGGTTGTACACACTTGTAGCAACATTGGAGTTTTGTGGAGACAACCTTTTTAGGAACAAGGAGAGATTATTAAACTCCTCCAATGGCAATTCCAAAGGCAAAGCACCACACAAACACTTCCAGGAGCCTTCTGCAAGCTGGATTTGTACAATAATTAACCAATAGCACCTTTAAGTCTTTCAGTAGTCAATCAAAACCCTCTCCAATTTTGGATTGCTAATGAAAATTAGACTATTAATAATATTCAAAGAACTGGAGATTCATAGAATAATTGGTCCTAAAAATGCCTGTCTTGGCTTCATGTTCCATTTTCTCTCAGATTTGGGTATGAATGATGCCCATTATCCCCTGGAAAGAAAAAGCAGGACTGATCCATCAGTCACACCTGGGTCAGTATTTCCAGGATTTAATTTTTAATCAATCACTCTTGTAGCTCCAACTCCTTCCTTGGCAAAAACTTCATTTAAGTCTGACAAACCCTCAATACTAAAAAAATTCCTCTTTGCCATTTCAGTCAGTGGAGAAACTCTGTGCTCTCTTTTTCCTTGGATCTTTAATGTGCTTTATAAGATAGGTATTTTCCTACCCAGAACAGCCACTCAGGGAGGTTTTGGTTGGTTTTTGGACACTGGATCTACCCAGTGATTTCACCATGGGTTAAAAGCACATGAGCAGAGTTATTGCACTTTCTGGTGTTACAATGGAATGTTTCTACTTTCTCTGGAGATTGGGAAGCCTCAAATATTTTCAGTTGGCTTCCAAACTTTTTATAAAAGAGAAACACTGATTTGAAAGCTTAATGGCAGCACCTAATTGAAACAACAGCTTGAGAAGAGAGCAGAGCAGCATCCTGAACAAAGGTGCACAAGGGGATTCTGTGCAATTCAGCACAGAACAAGGACAGAGGCACAGCTTTTCTGGAATCCTTCAAGCCACCAAAGCCACACCATGATCTCAGAAATGTCCTCAGGCCTTGACCTTGATAAGCAGCACCCTGAGCTTATCAGGAACATTGGCTGCTCCCAGGGCTGGAGTACAAACTCCTGGGTTTAGCCACCAGCCCTAGAACCTAATTTTTCTTGCCTGAATAACGACCCAAGTGGAACACTTTTGTTATTGACCTTTCAAAGGAAGATATTGATCCAAATTGCAGCCAGGCTGGAAAGTGACTCTGACAAAAGCAACTCTCTGTAAACAGGGAACTTGAGGGGAATTTTTCCCAGGGATACACCTGGATCCAGTCCTTGGGGCTGTGCCAGAGCCAAAGCTGGGAATGCTGCCCTCCTGGATTATGGAGTATTTTGGATTTATGAGTTCAGCCTCTAAGGGAGCTCCTGCTGTGCTTATAGGGAATTCTACATAAACCTCTTGTTCAGTTCCTTACCTGCTGATTCTCTGCTGTTGAGTTCAAGTGCTGCTACTGATTCTCTGATTCCAGGAAACCTTTAGGCCTGAACTGTTGGTAATTCCAGGGCTCAGTCTGGGAGGATGCTGCACTCTGAACCCTGTGACTCAACAGGAGAATCTCCCTCATTTTCTTTCATCCTGACCATTTTCCATCCCCAGCCTCCACACTGGTTGATTTTAGATTGCTTCATTCTCTATTTTAGTTTTTCTCTGTGTGCTTTAACCATTTAAAAAGTAACAGAGTGAACCTTGCCAATGAATTTGGTCACACTTTTTTATATCAAACCTGCTTTTGCTGATGCATCTCCCAAGGATTCTCTGGGTGACCTTCAAGCACTCACTTGTGACACCCAATCCCTGGGAGAGAAGTCCTTGTTTCTTCCCAAGTTCATTGCCATGAGAGATACTGTTCATGAAACAGACATAACATCCCTAAAGTTCCCGGAATCTGAATATTCCCTAGAATCACTCAGCAAGTGATTTTATCATTTTAGGCCCCATTTCAATACCAGAACACAGCTCCATCTGTAATTGCTGTCTCATCAATGATTCCAGCTTGGAACAGAGTTACTTCTCTTGCTTCAGTTTAACCAAGATCATAAAATAAGAAAAATTCCACATAAATGTTCTGCTGTCTTTCCTCATTTCCAGTCCTCCCTCTTATGACAAATCCATGTGTTATGGGCTGGTTCTGCACTTCCATCAATAAAGGAGGCCCACAAAAGCTGGTTCTTCAAGAGGCCAGCTTGGAAAGAAGCTGCTGAACTCAGGGGAACAGCAAAAACCGTGGAGAAGCTGCAGCAGAAGAAAACCTCCTCACAAACACTGACTACAGACAGGACCAACAGCACACTGCAAACTCCAGCACAAAACCTGCAGTGGCCTGGCTGGACATGGACACAGTCTCAGAGAAGGCACAGGGGGCTTGGTTTTGTGTAACAAATATGCATAGGAAACAAAACATGAATCAGTTCTGCTACAAGGCAAGGGTCCATGCAGAGATTCATTCACAGCTAAGAAAGGTTGGGGGGTTTTTATCATTTGAAGACGGACTGAATTTTTTTCTGGTTTTAAGATGACCTTGGACCACCACAGAGAACAGAGGGATTTGCATTCTTCCTCCTGCAGTTACTGCCCAGCTCCTCCAATGGAATTGGCAAGATTTCTTCCAGCCTCAAACAGCAGAGCTGGCAGGCAGCCCTAACCCTCAGAAATGCACGTGTTGCCACTGAAAGCCAAGTTCCCAGGAATGCCAGGCAGGCTCCTGGCAGCTCTGCATCACCTGAGCTGCAGGAGGTGTCCCCCAGCAGCTGCTCCCCCAGCCCTGCACACCCCTACTCACACTCAGCTGCAAATGGGGGCTGCAGCAGCTCCCCAGAGCTTCTCCCAGCAGCTCCCAGAGCTCATTCCTGGTGCTGAGCCTGCCCATCCTCCCTGGAGGCTCTGAGATCCCGGGGCTGGGCTGGGCTCTCCTTGTGCTTCTGGTGCCCCAGGGAGGGGCCATTGCTCAGCACAGGGGCTGCTCCCCCTGCACAGTCCTGAGGAGGAGTTGGGGCTTTGGCAGCAGCAGCTCCTGCCTTGGGTGAGGTGCAGCCTTTGCTGGGCAAGGGGCCGTCGAGGATAGGGAGTTTCTGCACAAATAGAAAGGCATAAAAACAAATAATTAATACCTTGATGCCAGAAAGGGACAAAAACCAGGTGTCAACACAACAACGGCCCTGTGGCACTGCCTCTTTCCCAGCTCTGAAAGCCAGCACTGAAGTAGCTGGACACAAATCCTCAAATGCCTGACACAAACATCAGAAATACCTGGACACAGATCCTGCCATGTCTGACAAAACATCAGTGTTTCATTAATAAAGCTGGAGTTTTCAGCATTCACATTACACCAGCAAAGGACACTGATGTTCTTCTCACCGGTGTATTTTAAAAACCGTATTTTAATTTGTTGGAGTTGTTTTGGGGTTTTTAACACACAGAGGTTTTGTGGGTTTGATTGGTTTGATTCATCTGTCATTTAGACTGCCTTGGTGTCAGCATCTCCTGACCTCAGCCAAATGATTCTGGCAGTCCCCTGAAGAACAGGGACAAAACAAAGCTCCAGCACCTTGAAAGAGCATAAACACGAGTTATTGTGATGAAGCTTTTAATAATATACAGGACATACAGTATTTATGTTGGGAGTAAAATAAGGATGGTACTTCATCTGAAGAGAAAGGCTGACTTGGATCCTGGCCCTACAACAGTGAATGGCAAAAAAATCCCCAAAAAGCAACTCCACTCATATTTTTTAAACTAAAACTTTAACAGGATTCTCTTTCCTAGGAGAGATATGAAGAGGCATTTTTGCATACATTGTTTTAAGAGCTGTTTAATAAATCTGCATGAATTGTCAGTAAATTTATCTGATTTGTTTTTATATGATGGGAAGAGGGGAAATAAATGCCAATACTTAAATTAAAATGTTTATATTATATATGTATCATTTATACATATATTTATAGAATATATATTTTAGAATATATGTATAATTTATATATTTAATGGAAAATATTTATATATTTATATTTTATAAATATGTCTAACTTTATACAATATATTTATATAAGTTATAAATATATATATTCTTATCATATATATCTATACTGAATAATTTCTAAATTTAATGGCCAATATTTATATAATATGTGTTTAATTTTATACTACATATTTATATTATATATAGTTATATATATTTATATTCCATATCATATATATTTATATAATACATGCACAATTTCTATACTTGATGGCCAGAATCTATATATTTATATAATATATATGTATAACTTTATACCATATATTTATATTATAAATATTATATAGGTCATATATATCTATTTATATTATATATCGAAAATACATGTACAATTTCTATCTTTAATGGCTAATACTTATGTATCATTATATTATATTATCATTATATTATATATTATATATTATATATTTATTATATATTATATATTATATATTATATATTATATATTATATATTATATATTATATATTGAAAATACATGTACAATTTCATTTTTAATGGCCAATATCTACATTTTCCATTTTAATATGTGTATGATAAGGCCAATATTAATGTCAGTTAAGCTTTCCCCACCCCCCGGGGTCCTGCAGTCCCCTGCCTCACGTTTTCCAGCTCGGCTGCGTTGTCCTCCAGTGTCACCTTGTGGCCCAGGCAGCTCAGCAGCTGGTCCAGCACACACTGCTTGGGGTGCATGCCCTTGTCAAAGCGGTTGTACATGCCACACCAGAACCTCAGAACAGGCAACAAAACCAGGAATCAGGGGCTCACTTGGACATCATTGCCAACAGATAGACGTCAGTTAATATTGTTAATAAATTGAGATTAGGAATTAATTTTAAAACCTGTCACAGCCTTGGATTATTCAATTCAGTAGCAACGGGTAATTTTTCTTCAAGTTAAAAAAACTGGCAGTAAATATTCAAATAGGATGAAAATACTTTTTTTTTTTTTAATAGCAGATTTATTGGAAGCTTGGGCAGCTTATCTTCCACTCCTTAATCTTGCCCCCGGTGATGCCTCATATTTGATATTTTTCAGATTCTATTCTACTTTGGTGTGTGGGTCTGGGCTTCATATTATGGGATGGTGAGCACTCTGCACAGAGCAGGGAGACAAAAGAATTCTTTCTCCAGCTGGGGACCAAGGACAAATGATCCAAATCTCAGCCCCAAGAGCACAAACAATGTGGGCTGAAGAGAGAAAAACAATCAGGATGGGACTGCCTGGGCTAAAGCTGGAATGGGACAATGAACTCCAAGGTGCAAATGGGGCAGAACTGATCCCAGGGAGAGCCCCGGGAGCGCTCGTGCATTTGGGACCATTTTGGTTCATCTTGGGTGCAGCCCTGGCTGGGATCTTGTGCTGCCCAAGGTGGATCCATGGAGGAGATCCTCTGAATAAATTCCTGCTTGATTCTTTAGCTCCATCCAGCCTCTGTTCTAGGGCAGCCTTCACAAGGCATCAGCCCCACCTCCCAACTTTCATTTGCACATACAGCACTTAAAATCCCATTTTCATCCCCCTCTCTCTCAGCAGGGCCCAGGAGTGATGCAGAAACAAAACCTGGGAAAAACCCTGAACTGGGCACCAAAATTCTTGCCTGAAAGACTTCCTCAATATACATTAAAAAGGAGAAAAAGAGGAACTTTTTCAAACACTTCAATGTGACAGAGCAAGCAGTCAGGGGGTGTGTGTGGTTCTGTCTGAAGTTCTGCTTTCCCTTGCCCTGCCCCACCCTCTTTTCTCAACACCAAATTACAAATATTATTTTGAATTACAGCATCCAAATTTATTTCACCTTTGCACTGCTCTTCTTAGTTTATGCCTGAGGAATGGAGGTGAAAAGTAAAACAAACCAAAACCAGTGGAAATTTATTTGATTTAACCTGAGTTATCAATGAAAGAAGCGTCTCCCCCCTTCCCCTTCTTAGCTGAGACACTTACTGGAAACTGAAAGGTAGAGTGTTTGGTTGGAGCTCTTTGTAAGCTGTAAATCCTCTGTACAAAGGATTTCTCAACTCCTGCTTCCTCTGTAAGAGGAAAGGCCACAGGGAATGGGTCTTCTCAAAGATTCTGGCAAGTACAAAGAACATCTGATCACTAAAAAAAGCAGCAAATGGATTAATAACTGCAACTGTTGGGAGCAGGATTAGATTAAGGGAGCTAAGAATTGTTTTTGTGCTGTATCTGATTGATTTTATAAGCACAGGATATTAAAATGGACACTCTCCTGTCCAGAAGGGATATCTGCAAGTTATTGTTGTGCTCCCAACCAAAACATTGTTTTTGGGATATAATTAAAATTCTTTTCTCCTGTAGGTTAAGGGTAACACCATCTTGATAAATGCTTACGTTCCACAATCTCCACTTCCATAAAGCACACCCTTTTTCAGACATTCCAAGGGATCTTTGGCCTGCTGGCTCCAGGAAGCCCCAGCTCACCTGAGCTCCTCCCTCTCCTTGTGGCAGGTGCCCAGGAAGTTGCCAAACTGGCAGGAATAAACATGGTCGTGGATCTCCAGCAGGAAGCGCTCGCTGAACTCGAAGGAGCAGGGGAACTGCTGCATCAGCTGCCACACACACTCCACAAACTGTGTGAACACCGGGGACACCTCTTTGGGGTCCCCATCCAGGTGGCCACACCTAGAGAGGTGCAAAAAGCAGAATAAATCTTCTGTCACCCACCACAAAACATCCCTTTGCCATCAGTTTTCTTCCAGGTCAGGTCTATGGCTTGAACTTTGCAAAGTCCTGAGAAAGTGGCAGAGATCCTCTCCCAGGGATGTCTGCAGGAGAATTCCCAGTTCTGCCTGGAGCACTGTGGATGGGACAGAGCGGGGTCACCATCCCTAGAAGTGCTCAAGAGATGCGTGCATGTGGCACTTGGGGACATGGGTAAGTGCTGGCTGCTGGCTGAACTTCATGATTTTGGAAGTCTTTTCCAGCCTTTGTGATTCTGTAATTCCATGATTAGCACTCCTCAAATAATAGAATTTTGCAGGTAGGAAAACACCCAGAATTCAAGCCATGATTTAGTGAAGCAATAAAAACACAGTGATGAAATAACAGCCTTAGCAGACCCTGGCTCTATGTCACCAATGCCAATATTTTCCCAATGCTTTCTCCTTTTCATTTCAATTTTTGATGGGATCCCCTAAACCTGAAGACAGTTTTGGTTTCACTCCCCCCAGGGGAACGTGCCCCTCTCACCTGTGTGAGAACTTGTGGCCCATTGCAATCCACTCCTTTTCTATCAGGACCTGCAGGTTCAAAATGGGGATTAAGAAAAGAGCATTCATTTCATTAAAAAAGGAAAATTAAACCTTTGATGTTAAAGCCTAAAAAGCTGACAACCTGCTGACCCTATTGCTATAAATATACCCCCAGAAATTAATGGGAACTGTAATTTATAGATTATCCAGTTACCAAGGCAATGGCCCTGCTGGAATCAGAACTCATTTCAAAACTATCATTTTGAGAGAGTTTCTAAGTTGTTAAAATCATAATATATAAATATATTGAGCTCAAAGAATTAACAGCTTAATATTACACTGTGTTATTTAATTTGGAAAAGAGTGTTGTGATACTCAGCAAAATAAATCAGCAACTGGAGTTCAACAAATGCTTAACAGACAAAAAGAAATATATGAAGTACAACTGCATAATGAAGAGTTCAGGATGAAATTTGAACAACTGTGTGGCATTTTTTAAATAGAAAATAATAACTGTTATAATCTGTTTTCCTTACAGATAAATAAGATAAAATAATCTGTTTTCCTTACAGATGTCTCACAAGGAACCACATGACTAAAGCTGCATCCATCATTACTTTGCTGGATCATATCTGAAGATAATTCCTGCTATCATCATCCAGATTAAGAGGAGGAGGGCAGAAATTCACAACAAAGTTCTTAGAAAACTTCATTTAAATTGCTTTTTGAATTTTTCCATTCCTTGCACTGCTGATGAATTCCTTTAGGAATAACCCCACGTCAGAGGACTTGTGCCTACAAACCATGAGGACAGACAAGGATTTGTCTGTGTCACTTCTGCTCCTGAGTGAAATCCTGTTCTCAGTTCAAGCAGGATTGTTCAGAGACCAGGCAGATGTTTCATGTGCTGATGGAATTTTAACTGTTAAAAGACTGCAGTATAATCCAGAAACAAAAATAGAAACAATAAAACCAGCATGGAATGCAAAGAAAGTCCTGGCACTGGAAAAGGCAAAATCTGCATTGTTCTGATTTCAGGGACTCCTTCAAGGAGCTCTCCTGAGACAGAGCAACTCTTCAGGTATTTAACCAGAGATGAATGGAAAAAACATCACAGATTGCCCTGAATTCATGCAGGGATGGCTGCAAATGAAGAAAAAGCCTGCACTAGAAGCAACAGCCAACAGAAAATGAAATGGCTTTTTAAAAGGTGTAAAATTATGCAGATTTGATTGATGGACAGGGGACAGGGCTGGGTTCACCCAATTTCAAATCCCAGGAGATAAGAGACTTGCAGGACAAACTCCTCCAGCACTTTTTGGTGGATTGCTGCCAGAGCTGCATCCTTTGCTGAGATCTCTCATTAGTGGCTGCCATGTAGACATTGCAGGAAACAAGGATTTGGGAATTGTCAATCAGCTGCTGCCGTGCTGCTCGCAGCAATTCCAGCTCGTTACAGAACCAAAGCTGCTTTATGTAGTTCACTTGTCCCAGGAAATGGCCTGAGCCCTTCCCCAGGGCCTGCTGGCACTGGAATTGCAGCATGTCCTTACCATGAAGCCTTTGAAGGTCCTGTAGAAGGGGTCCAGGAGGAGGCTGGCCAGGGAGCAGACCTGAGCCGTGCGGTCCCAGCCGTCGGAGCAGTGCACCAGCACGCTGGCCCTCTCCTCCCTCACAGCCTGCCAGGGACACAGCACAGAGCTCAGGGAAAGGCTGTCCCTCCCCGCATCATCCCAACACCCCAGGGGAATGGTGGTCAGGCCTCCTCTGGCCTGTGGAAATGCACCAGTCCATCAAGAGAAGCCCCAGCTAGAGCAAAGTGCTGCAGAAGGCTGGTAAAAAACAGCCCCTGTGATCTCAGGAAGGCCAAGGATTCCCAGGCTCTTCCTCTGAGGAAAAAATTTGGTGGATGAGTGAAAAACAGTTGGACACCCAGGGATTAGAACCCGAAGACAAATTAGAAGAGTTGATGCCAACTTGCCCCCATCCCATTATTTTTGCCACTTAGGGCAGGAGAGAAATAAAAGTTTCTGGCTCGTGACATGGGCAAATTGTGAGAGACAACCAATGTTTACTACTCACTCCTCTCACCACACACTTCCTGCACACCCTATACTACTCCTGACTTCCTTCCTCCCTTCTGCCTGACCTGCAAAGCCACCAGCTCTGCAGAAATAAGGACTGTGTTGAATAATCAAAATTAGTGCCCACATCACATCAAAACAGGAAAAAATAAAAGTCAAAACAACCCCTCAATTCAAGCAGAGCAGTGGATGAATAACAAGCACAGGGTTAGGAGTTGTTTGCACTATAAAAAGGCTTATAAAGGTAATTTATTCACATTTTGTGATGTTTCAAATAAGCTCTAATAAAACCCTGGTACAACACATGACACAGGACCTGTATTTGCCCAGCAGCTGCACGACCCAACATTTTTGGAGAGATTAAGCCAACCTGAACAACAGCTTCTCCTCAGAGCCACCTTCCCAACCTCGCAGCAGCCCCCAACACAGCAGGAGACATTTTGGAATGCAGCTGGAGAGCAGCTTTACCTTGGCCAGGAAGACACCTGCATCCATCACAGCCTTGATGTGCCGTAACCAGCCCGAGTTCTCCAGCCCCGTCAGGAAATCACTCATGGAGGGGGACTTCATCTCACACACTGGGAGCACACAGAGAGTCAGAACAGCACCCCCTGCGCCTCCTCGTTATCCCCCTGAAAATTCTAACTGCTTCCAGCAACATCCTGTCTAATGGTTGTGTATCTAAAATTCACAATTTAAAAAATAGCTGTTTTTCTGGAAATCTCCTCCTGCTCTTTGTTTAAAGGGTAACTCATTATTTATTCAGCTGTGTTTCTTTCAGCAGTGAGCTGTAACTTCACTCTAAATCACTATCACATCTACAACCACTCACTCACTTCCCAAAGATTTTAACTTATTTCTCTCTAATTTAGAGACAAAAAATAACAAATCTAACCTTGAAGGCAACTCAGCTGCTCTAATGAAACCCAGCACAGAGAACACTTAAGAGTAATAAAGTTCAGAACAGTCCATAAGCCCCAGTGAACAATATTTTATCACTGCTGGAGAAGAACATGGGAGCAAGCAAGTTTTTATTTTGCCTCTTCTCCCACAAAAAAAAAAAATCTGCCAGGAAGAGGCAACTGAGGACTCAGAGTTGTGATCAGGCCACTCTTTTGGGTGGAGCAGCACCATTTTTGTCCAAGGTCACCATGGATCCTGCAGGGCCACCTGGGAGCACCAATTACCCAACTATTTTGAAAAAAGATGAGCATTATTGTGGGTACTAAAATATTAAACTCCTATTTTGGATGGCAGCACTTGAATTGCAAAATTGTCCAAAATTCTATCGATGAAACTCTGGGCCTCATTACCCTCTTGATCCCCAAAGCTTAGGTGACTCTTTTGCCCTGCTTTGCATTCCTCCCTATGATCACAATCAGTTTAATTACTCTGCATTTTCATATATTTATATATTAAAACATTAATTTAATATATTTTAAAGGAGTTTGGTTAAAAGGAATCAGAAATAAATGAAAAGTTAGAACAAAGTATGTATGAGACTCAAGTCTTTGGAAGATCATGCATTTCAACTCAGAAATACTGTTAATACTCCAAATACAGCAAACCTCAAAAAGCATTTCTGAACAACCTCTGTTGGTTTTCTTTCAATAAGTCATGAAGCAACAATGACTGTATTAGCTATAAAATGTAATATTTCTCTAACCATTTTCTATTAATTTGGCACATGCATCAAGGAATGCTTTTAGTATTAGTTGCAATTTTTGAACCACTATAAAATCAAGCACAAGAACAAAGAAAATGTCAAGCAGGAAAGCATTTTAACAGCATTAATAATTTCAGCTACCTGAATGCAGCAAACAAAGCAAGATGCTGACTTTGCTTCCATCAGAACACGTTTATGCATGGAACATTTGGATATTTGGCAGGAAGTTCTGTCCAGAAGGGTAAGAAAGACAAACCCCTCCCAGGGCTGTACCCACCTTCCAGCAGCTTCTGCAGGCTGCTCCTCATCACATGGATGTTCTCAATGCCAATGAATTTAAAACGAATGTTTTCATAATTATCTTCATTCTCATAGCCCTTCCCAGCAGCTCTGTTTGCCATGGCATTCAACTGGCAAATTCAAGGAACAGAAGAGAAAATCACAACAAAATTCAGAGAGGCTGTTTTGCAAGTCCTTTGTTTTTTGTTTAAATCTCCCAGAAAATGTACTGGACAAAGCTGTTACTCAGCTGTACTTCCCCACCTGCCAGACAGTTCTTTCAGCTGTTTCATTAAAATTACTGCAGTTCATTAGTCAGAGGCTCATTAAAACCTGCTTAGGGTAGTATAAACCCCCAGTTTCTGCTATCAGAGATACTAAAACTGCCCTAACTGTGAGTTTTCCTAGGGAAATTCAGAGACAGGCACAGGAAAGCAATTTTTAACATTTTTACATACATGGTATAGAAATAATAAGAGAATTTCCAATTTTCACAAACATACATGCACAGAGGAAATTAAGCCACCTGAGGGAAACAGAAACATTCAAGTTGAGGAGAAAGAACAAAGCAACTGCAAGAGAGAAGCAGAAAAGAAGCCAGTTGCTCTAACAGTCCCCAAACCAGTTCAAGAGGTAGCAGGACATCTTTGGTGGGGACAGAAAACAGTGCAGCTCGACCCCCCCAACTCTTATCAATCTGGGCAGCTTTTGGGAGAGAATAGTCAGACATGGTGCAGACACCTTTAGAACTGTAAAATAACCCCAGTGCCTCAGTTTTGCCAGAGTGGGACAGGTTGGCTTAGAAGGGAAGTGTCACCAGTTATAAATTCTCCCCTTGTCACCAAATGCTTTAGCACAAATTGACACCAGTGAAGGATTTCAGTGGCACATCTCTGCTACTGGCAGCTGTCTGTACCAGAAGAAATGCAAATATCATTGCAGAACAGGGGATCTCTAGGAAACGTCACACTAAAAGACAAAATACACACTGAAGCAAGATGTGAAACACTCCCTATTTTCCCCAAAAAGACTTTTTCTTCCTTCCCCTTGCCATAGTTTAATTAAACTTGTAGTTTATATAAAACAGAAGTTTATGTAAATAACAGCAAGATCTGAACAGCGAAGCAGATTGTCAGAAAGCTCAATTTTCAAATAATCAGAGCAAAATAAATCTTTGCCTTTAAATAATTGTGTGCTATGAAAATTCTTGTGTTCTAATTGGCTTCTAACAAGACTCCTAACCCATACATTTACAAGAGAATCATTAGAATTGGTTTTTAAACTCAGTTCCTCAAGATGACAGTCATTAAAATTTTCATTTTGCAAATATTTCCTTTCAAATAAACCCTCAGCTCTCAAGTTCTAGCCCCAAATAGTAGGGCTGAGCGGTATTAAGCTCCATCATGAGTCTTATTTTTAAAAGGGAAAAAAAAGGGAGGAATTGCTTTTCACAGCTTCACTTCCTCCCAGATCTGCCAGTAAAAGCACCTCAGCCTCGTGGAACTGAATCCTGAGGCTTCTCTCCAACTCCACGTCCAGTTCTCTCCTTTATCCTTTCAGACTCTGCAGGAAAAGGCTTCACTGTCCCAGCCAGGTTCACAACTGCCAATTCCATCAGGTCATCCTGAACACAAACCTCAAACCCAGGTACTCCAGATGGCAAAACTCCTCAGATCACTTCACATTCCAGTTGTACACCCTGAACCAGGAGCCCGATCCCACATTCCTGCTGCAGGAGCGACCCAGAATTATGACAGAATGAACTGGAAACAGCACTGCACACTCAGACAAGGGATTTAAAAGCAGCCCAGAGCCCATGGAGGTACCTTTGGCCTCGTGTCTACAACATACATGAAGGGGCAGCCGGGGTTGGCCTCTCGGATGGCCTGGAGCATCTGCTCGTCCTCCAGGCAGCGCGCGCTGAACCCGGCCAGGGGCTGGCTGCAGCGGCACAGGGCGGCCTGCAACACACACACAGTCACCCCTGCTCCACTGCCCTCCTCCCCAAAGCCCTCTGGCCTCACAGCTTCAGCCTCTCCTCCTGCCCCACACCCCGCAGAGTCACAGCTGAACTGTCCCCTCTGCTCATTCTGAGGAGCTGCTGCTGTGGGGGACACACACCGGGACGTTTCACAAAGCGACAACTTGGGGGAACTTGGAGTAGTGAGGGTGAGGAGACTCCACCTGCTTTGCCTGATGGTCACCACCCTAAATCTGGGCAGTTCAAGGAATCCAGAATGGTTGGGTGGAAAGGACCTGCAACGGGCAGGGACACCTTCCACTGTCCCCAGGCACTCCAGCCTGGCTTTGGGCACTGCCAGGGATCCAGGGGCAGCCACAGCTGCTCTGGGCACCTGTGCCAGGGCCTGCCCACCCTCCCAGGGAACAATTCCTAATTCCCAATATCCCATCCATCCCTGCCCTCTGGCAGTTTAAAAACACCCCCACTTTCCCTGTCATTATGCTGTATAAAAGTCCCCCTCCCTCTTTTCCATGAGCCTCCTGAAAGTACTGGAAGGCAGCAATTTCTCATGTTTTCCATTTGGTTTCTATTTCCAAACCATTCTTTTGAGTTTTCTGTATCAGTTGTTGCTGTTGCACATTCAGAGCAGCACTGGGTGTATTTTAAGGAAATTTCATTAGTTTCCAGCACAACTCCAGGCAGTGCCCAGGTCAAGGCACACTTCCTCAGGAAAACAACATTTTGGCTGTGACTGAATTTTCCTAACATCAGCATCTAAAACACTGCTGAGGCAGCAAAGTTACAAATTTACATTCTGGTCTTCAGTGGAAAAAAAAAATGAAACCATCACTTAATCTGAAGTAGTGGGGATTTATTTTAGGGTGGTTCCTTTTCTTCAATACTAAGAAAATCCAGCCAAGTCAACATATAACTCGATAAAACATTGTTCAATATAGCTAAAGAGGAGATTTAAAAACCCCACATCAGAAGGAATTGCTGAAAGCTGATTAAGAAAAAATTCCCAACAGGAAGCTTGGAAATTCTGTGCTTTTGGCAGAGCTCTGGATGCATTCCAAGTGTTTGCCTTCAGCTCATTCTGTGACTCAGAATAAAAGCCATTAAGAGAAGCACAGTTCTCAAAAGCCTCAAATCTAATAATTATCTTATTCTTTCCTTTCATTAGAAGGGAACTGGACAAAAAGGAGAGCCCTCATTCCCCCCAAGCAGCAGGCAGTGAAGCACTAACATTGTTTTCCTTGTGTAAGTAAGAAAGCACCGGAATCCGCCCTCGGCTCCTGAACCTTGAACTTCCCATCACCACGGCCTTGGTGGCAGCTCGAGGCACCACGATCTCAGGAGGGTATGTGCTGCAAACCTGAGGGAGAACAGAGAAAAAAACCAGATATTGCTCCTGAGCACCTCAAAATTCATGAAAAATTCATCTTTAGCTTATTAGGTTACGAAGTATTCAGGAAAGCAATGCAGGAAGTAATAAACTCTGCAGCTGAACCTAAAAACTGGACTGCACAAAGCAGATTCAAAGAAGTCCTTTAAATCCATAAATGTGATGGATGTTTCTAAATTAGATTCACAGAATGGGGTGGGTTGGAAGGGACATTTAAAGTCATCCCACTCCTTGCCATGGGCAGGGACACCTTCCACTATCCCAGGCTGCTCCAAAGCCCCATCCAACTTGGCCTTGGACACTTCCAGGGATCCAGGGGCAACCACAGTTTCTCTGGGAATTCTATTCCAGGGCCTGCCCACCCTCACAGCCAAGAATTCATTTCCACAAAAGAGAAATTAACTCCACTTAAAAAGTTGTCTCTAAATGTTATGCAACTTGAAAGGCACTTCCAGAACTCAGGTGGAATCCTCAGAGAGCAGCTTCATCCTTTCTCCTCAAACAAGCACAGTCTTTGCAGCATGGACTTCAAAGATAAGCTGCTCTCCAAGCCTGGCTTGACATCACGTTTGATAATTCTAAAACACAGGCTGGAAACTGTGAGGAAACAGTAAAGCACCTGAGAGTTCCACTGCAGTAAGCAGAACCTCCAAGTGATTGATGATTTGAGATGGCCACAGCAGCTACTGGAAACAGCACCTCTCCCATCAGAGCTCAATTCAGGCCCCCACAGGCAGAGCCAGGTAAAACTGACAGTCACCTCTGACAGCACAGGCTTGTATTTCTTCAACCCACAGCTTAAAGTAAAGAAAGTTACCAGGGAAAGGGATTCAGGGTTATGAATATTTTGGTGTCTTTCTTGGAGTTGCTTGCCTTGCTTTTCAACAGCCAGGTCTGACTGCACACAGCCCCAGAGGAAACAAAAAGGGAAACATTGTGGAGTAGGATTTTGAACAAGCTTGCTGACAAATGCTTTTGTTTTATCTTGTTTAGATCCAAGTTGGCCTTTCAGGGAAAATAACAGCAGCAGGCAGCTTAGACTGAAATGACAGGGGGCCCTTAGGTAGCAGAAGATCCAAATGAGAAAGCAAAAAAACCCTCTGGTTTCCACTGCTGTTTTTCTATTCCTTCCTTCTTTCCCTAGTCCCTCTCCACTCTGCCTCATTTCCCACCAATCCAAACTGCTGCCATTTCCCTCTCTCCTCCACATTTGTCACCAGCCAGGTGGGACAGGCCTTGGAAATACCAAAAGCAGCTCAGGGTACTTGAAGCTTTGCCTAACAGATGGGTTGACATTTCTGCAGAAAAACAAGACTCTGCTCCCTTGCCAGGGGGATCAGACACAACAAGATGACTCTCCTGGAGCATCATCTGCAACTCCCCATCAAGATGATGTGCTTTGACTCAGACTAAACGAGCTCCTTCTTCTCCAGAGGCAGCAGCAGGGCTGTCATTAATAACAACAAGGAGATAGTGCATGGCATGGCTCCTCTGGGCAGGAATTACCTCATAGTCCTTATTAATATCTGTTATCTCCCAGGAGTCGTTGGGGATTCCCATGCGCTGGTAATCCAGCTTCAAATCAATCAGTTTCCATCCCATCTCCCGGCTCTCTTTGGACATTTTAGGATTGTAAGAGAAAGCATAAAGTTCTTCAGGTTTCACTGGGAAGGAGAAAGAAAAAGATCAACAAGTCAGAGATGCAAAGACATCCAGGGAGGCCAAAACTTCTGGGAATCAATGACTGAGTGCTACAGAGAAGTACTCAAAGTATTTAAGACTTCCCAACCTTTTACAGATTTTTGGTTTGGGACAGTACCAAGTGCTGAAATTCATCCTGAAATCCTCAGGAATTTCCAATACTCAGTTCCCAAACTGAGGCAAATACATTAATTTTAATGAAGTGTTTTAGCCCAAGCTGGAAGAAGCAATTTCTCATAAGCTAATGATTTCATCCTGAACTCCTGAATGTAGTAAGCCTGTTAGATGGGATTTACATCATAGCCATTAAGCCACACATGAAAACATGGATTAAAAGTTCTGTTTTCTGTGGAGAGTTCATACAATGGCTCCTGCACACCTGTAAGGTCAGGGTTCAGCAACAAATTCTGAGACTGGAAAACTTGAGGGATGGCTGGAATATTGCTGTCAGCCCAACAAAGGCTTCAGACTGGCTCTGTCAAGTGCCCATTTACCATCCCAACCTCCTTCCCTCTCTTCACAAAATGCAAATCCAACCAACAGCTCATCCAGCTGATTGCCAAGGCAGCTCCAGAGAGAGGGAAACCTGTCAGAGGCTGATAAAGCAGCTGGGTACCCAACAGGTAAGCCAGAGCTGTCCATCACACATGTGCAAATCATCAGTAATGATGTGCGCTGCCAAAAAATCCATGAAGGGAGCACACTCAGATATCTTAAAAGAACAAAAATGTGCTGTTACCATTCAGAAGTAGAAGAAAAGAAAGAGCAACAGCATTTAGTTAAGTAGAGACCAAAGGAAACTGGTGTGAGGCGCTGCAGTGACACCTCCCATGCTTCAGGCACTACCCAAACCTCCAATTTTCAAACCCCAAAGAGCAGTGACCATTTTTAAATCTAACATCACAAACCTACGTCATCACAGGCAGAACTTCAGAACTAAGAAAACTCCAAAAAGCACAAGGGGTTGCTGGGAGTAGACACAGGGCTTAATATCAAAATGAAAAACATCTAAATTCAGCAAAGCCCATTTCTCCTACAGGATTTCCAGCCCAGCTCTGTGTGAAGGCCAGCAAGAAGCTGCCTGGTGCCATTAATTCCCCTCCCTCAGCCTGCTGGCACCATCACAAATTGCAACTACAAATGACATCCTTGTAATAACACAACTCCAAATACAGGTTCCAGCATCCCAAAAGCAGAGGTTGCCAGAGGCAGAAGCCAGGTAGGAGCTCAATGGAATGCTGTCCTGCAAGAAAAGCACGAAGATTCATCCATGCTGGAATAAAAAGCTGGAGCTAGAAGAGAGCACAGGCTTTTGAGGGTGTCTGGCTCACACTGCAAGAGTGACTCCAAGTCAGAGCAGGGTGAAGCACAGGCTTCACTGAGCAAACACAGCAGAGCAGCCTAACCACGCTGCTGAAACACAGCCAAGATGCCAGTTTGTGGGATTTGGGAATTCTGTGAATGCCTGGATCAGCTGGAAAGGGCAGAACTGCATACAGCCAACAGCTGGGTGACACAAGGGACTGACAGTGGCCAGGTTTGGGATATGAACTTTGCACAGCTCTCCAGAAGTTCCTCATTGGAGACCACGTCACTCCCACTGCCAGAGAGTGACAGAATCACAGAGAGGTTTGGGTTGCAACAGCTCATCCAGTGCCACCCTTGGGACACCTTCCACTGTCCCAGGCTGCTCCAAGCCCCAGCGTCCAGCCTGGCCTTGGAACTTCTAGCAATGCCACAGCTTCTCTGGGCACCCTGTGCCAGGGCCTTACCATCCTCACAGAGAAGGATTCATTCATTCCCAATAGCCCACCTAGCCCTGCTCCCTCAGCATGAATCCATTTCCCCTTGTCCTGGCACTCCAAGCTCCTGTAAACAATCCCTCTCCATCTATCTTAGCTCCCAAGACTGTGTTTAATCTGGAAGCAAACGTCCTGCCCCACAGAGCTCAGCTCCCTGAGCCCTGCCATTGTCCCTGCTGCTGGAAGCTGATTCTGATCCCACTCCCTCCCTCCCAAACCCAAGGGGGCTCAGCTTGGAGCATTCCAGAGATTCCCAGGACACATTCCCAACCCCAGCACCTGGCTGGGAGAGCTTGAGCAGGGAGGTGAACACGTCGTGGCAGTCCCTCTCCTGCCCAATCACAAAGTGAGCCACGTGGAAGTTCTTGCAGTGGATGAGCAGGGGGTACCCAGCCGTGGTCAGGGGCAGCTTCTCCACACTGGAGATGTGGTGGTGCAGGATCTGGAGAAAAGGGAATAAACATCATTTGTCACTGATAAAGCTGTGAGCAGTGCAAGCAGGTAGGAAACTTTTGTAATACAATCAGCTGTTTATGCTTCCTGCAGCTAAGGAGCAGCAGGAAATGAGTTTATTTGTGATATCAAACATAAACTGCACTCAAAACCCAGGGAACTAAAGCAGGACTGAAAAACCACAGATTTACAAAAATTGCTTTCAGAGACAGATGTGCAGCTCAGTTTACCTGGTGCACTTTGCTTTCCTTTCACCTCCATATGAAATACATTCTGTCATTTCCATTTCACCTTAGAATTAAAAAAACAAGCTCATTTCAGGCTAAATCTGCACTTCTAAAAGCTGCAAAGTCACATTTAAAGGTCTTGTATATGGAGTTTTAGATAGGAAAACAGAAGTTTTTTTATATTCCTTGAACTGACACTAATTCCATGAGTGAACTATATCAAGTCACATCACCATTGTGCTCACTTCCTTCTAAACCAGCTGTTTCTGGGAAGCATTTGGTACCAAAATGCTCTAAAAGACCACTATGTCTCTGGAATTCCCGAACCTGCTCATTCTGGAAATGAGAGCACTCAGTTCCAGGACAAGGGGGAATGGCTTCCCACTGCCAAGAGGGCAGGGATAGATGGGATATTGGGAAGGAATTGTTCCCTCCTCTCTCCAGGGCAGGTCCTGGCACAGGGTGCCCAGAGCAGCTGTGGCTGCCCCTGCATCCCTGGCAGTGCCCAAGGCCGGGCTGGAGCAGCCTGGGACAGTGCAAGGTGTCCCTGCAGGGGTGAAATGGGACGATCCTTCAAGTCTCTCCCCATCCAATCCATCCTGTGAGACCTGAAGCAGCTTTTCCAGGTGTGTTTGCAGCCCACCATACCCATGTTTCCTTCCTGACTTCAGCAGAGGCATCCACGTAGATCAGGTGTGTGGCTGTCAGGTACAGGGTCCCGCTCGCTGCCTTCCTGCTGGCGTAGCGATCCAGCAACTTCACGTTTTCCACCTGCAGCAGGAACACGGCATGAGAACACCACAGAACCCCGGGGTTGCCAGGCTGGAAAAACCCTCTGGGACCAGCCTGTGCCCAATTCCCACCTTGTCACCCAGCACACATCCACTTGCTCCTCGGACACCCGCAGGGATGGGCACTCCAAACCTCTCTGGCAGCCCCTTCCAAGGCCTGACCACCCTTTCCATGGAGAAATTCCTCCAAGTCCAGCTTTGATAGAAGCACTGCCTACACACCTGTTGAACTCCATTCTTTCAACTTCTAATACACAGCTCATGAAGCAAGACAGAAAAAATTTTAAGTCCCCCCTGCAACACCAAGCCAGTCTTACACCATAAACTCAAATTATTTCTCCGAGAATTAAAGCCATAAAGGTTAAGCAAACAGCTGTGGTTCAGCACCAGCAAACCCTAACAGGATTACTGGATTTGTAGCCAAGATGATCACAGTTTGTTGCTGTGTGAGGCTGCAGAAATAACAAGACAAAGAACTGCAAAGGAAAGGCTTGCCAGTGTTCAGGGTGATCAACATGTTGCTCTGAAAGGAACAGCCCACTCCAGTCTGACTTCCCACGGCTCATTCCCTGTTAGCAGCTACTTGTAACTCACTTCCTGGCCTCCAAGAGTATTTCACAAACCACACCAAGCCAATTAATAAACAACAGCTTTAAAGAACTCAGCACAGACATAATAGAATATGCTACAGCACTGGATTGATTTTTCTCCTGGCCTATTTGCTGCCTAATGAACGCAGATGGAATTTTTCTTTCACTGTTAAGCAGAAATAATAAGAAAAAATAACTGGAAGGACAATGAAAACAAATGTTTTAGCAGTTAATGATAGATTAGTTCTGGGTATTTAATGTGTGAGCTTTCTTATGTCTTAAGTACACAAGGAAAATCTCAGCAAATAAACTGGAGAGCTGAGGCCTGGGCTCAGTCGTGTTTTACAGCAGATATAACTATAAAATACAATATTGCCCTTTCTAAGGCACTACAGACATGCAGGACCAGCAGAGCACCTCAGAGCAGGGGGTAAGGAGCATCCCCAAACTAACCTACAGAATAAAGCGAGAAACAATAACCTTCACTGCAGTGAAGGATAAAATTAAATTATCAACTGCTGCCTGGATAAATGCAATTCCTACAGCATGCCCGGAGGTGCTGTTTGAAAAAAAAAAAAAAAAAAAAAAAAAAAAAAAAAAACCCAAAAAAAAAAAAAAAAACAAAAAAAAAAACACCCCTTTGGTTCACTCCTAGGGACTGAGAGGAATTTCCGCGCTTTGACAGAAAAACATTCCAGAATTCCCTAAACCACCTGGGGCTCTGCCCAGCATTGCAACCCCCTCCCCACAGAGCGCCGCCAGCACCGGGGGACCGCGGCTGCGACCCCCACCCGCAGCGCCGAGGGCCGTCCCGCGGCTGGGGAGCGGGGGGAGCGGCGGCGGGGCCGGCCGGCCCGCGGGGCTGGTTACCTTCGGGGTGCTGATGTGCTCCATGGCCGCCCGGCCCCGCCGTGAGGGGCCGCCCCGCCGCCATCAGGGCGCGCGCGCCCCGCCCCGCCCCGCCCCGCCCGAGCCGCGCGCCGGCGCCGCCATCGCGGCTGAGGGCAGCGCTGAGGGCAGCGCCCGCCCCTGCGCCGGGGGGCCCGGAGAGCCGGGAGGGGGCCCGGGGAACGGGCCCGGAGAGCCGGGAATGGGCCCGGAGTGTGCCCGGAGAGCCGGGAATGGGCCCGGAGAGCCGGGAGTGGGCCCGGGGAACGGGCCCGGAGAGCCGGGAATGGGCCCGGAGTGTGCCCGGGGAGCCGGGAATGGGCCCGGGGAACGGGCCCGGAGAGCCGGGAATGGGCCCGGAGAGCCGGGAATGGGCCCGGAGAGCCGGGAATGGGCCCGGGGAACGGGCCCGGAGAGCCGGGAGGGGGCCCGGGGAATGGACCCGGAGAGCCGGGAATGGGCCCGGGGAATGGACCCGGAGAGCCGGGAATAGGCCCGAAGAGCCGGGAATGGGCCCGGGGAATGGCCCGGAGAGCCGGGAATGTGCCCAGGGGATGCGCCTGGGGAGCCGGGAATGTGCCGCGGGATTATATGCCTGGAGAGCCGGGGATGTGCCCGGGGAATGTGCCTGGAGAGCAGGGGATGGGGCCGGAGAGCTGGGGATGGGCCCCGGGAATATGCCTGGAGAGCCGGGAATGGGCCCGGGGAATGGGCACGGAGAGGCGGGAATGTGCACCGGGATTGTGCTCGGAGAGCTGGGAATGTGCACCGGGATTGTTCCCGGAGAGCTGGGAATGTGCCCGGAGAGCCGGGAATGGGCCCGGAGAATGGGCCCGGAGAGCACAGGGTGCGCTCCGACCTACTGTCCCGAACCCTCAGGATTGTGCCCCGAGCCCCCGGGCTGTGTCCCGAGCCCTCGGGATGTGCTCGGAGCCCCCGAGATCCGCCTGGAACTCCGGGATGTTGCCGGAGCCTCTGGGAGCCCCTTCATCCTCCGCTCCATCCTGCTACACTCCCTCTCTCTCCTCGCGTCTTTTCCCCTCCCAGCACCGGCGTTCGCGATCTCTCAGGGAATATATCAGGAAAAAACACCTTTTTTTTCCCCCTCAAAGCGTGCGGCCATCAGCTGCGCTGTCTGGATGGGCAGCAGGCTGACAGCGTCTTCCCCTGGAGAAAGGGGTTGGAGGCACATTTGTCACACTTCCCACAGCTAGTAACACCTGTCCCTCCTGTTTGCCGTGTATTTTAGATCCCGAGCACGATGCTGTGTCCCGTGGGTGCCCCGCCCGGATCCCGGGGAGCTGCTGGAATTGCTGGTCACTCCTGCCATGAGTGTTGATGTCTCACATCCCCAAAAACAGCCTGTTCCCAGGAGTTTTTTCCAACCCAAACCTTGAATTGCCAAAAGATTCCCTTCAGGACCTCAGAATGTACAGGTTACAATTGTTGGTGACCTTGTAGCGAGCCTGAAAATTTACAGGTTTTAATTATTGGTGATCTTGTATCAAGCATGAGAATTGACAGCTTTTAATTTTTACCATAATCAGAATCCCAGGCTGGTTTGGGTTGGAAGGGACATTAAAGCTCATCCAGTTCCAGTCCCTGCCATGGGCTGGGACACCTTCCATGGGTGTTATTCCATATTCTATAATTTCTACCACTCGTACAAACCCACACAACCTCAGATCAAGGAAAGAAGACACACGCGGGCTGTAATTCCCTGTCATTCCCCGTGCGAAGCAGCACAGGCTCCTCCTGTGCAATTAGTGGGGGCAGCGCTCGTTAATTAAGGCTTTGTGCTTGTGCTCCACGTGATCCAAAGTCGTTTTTCCCCTCGCCCGGTAGCTTCTCCTGGGGCTTGCAGAAGGATGAGGATGGTTTATAAGATTAAAAATAAACGGAGTGGGAATCACTTAGGGGACCTTGCAGCACTGCACAAAATGTACCTGTGGAATAGCAATGCAGCTTCCTCCTCTTCCCAAAGGAAAGTGCAAAAACAAGACAAAAATAAAAAAATGAGGGAAGAAATAAGGATGTGGAGATGCGAAGAGCTGAAGGAACAGCTGCACTGTTCAGCCAGGCACTGCCACCCTCACAGTTCTCCCCAAACTTGTGCCATAGGGATCAGATTGAGCGGGAATCTCGGGGAATAAAGAGAGCTGACTTCTTCCAGGGGGCTTTTCCCAAGTCATTGATGGGTTGTGCCCATATTCTCTCTGAAATCTACATTTCTGGAGCCTGAGGATATGAGGAAAAGGCAGGTATCAGAAGAAAATAAACCACGGTGTGAAGCTTAGAAAATCCACTTTGAGTACATCTGAAGAAGCTGAATGCATAAAACCCCACCCAGATCAGAAATGAACTGGACTTAGAAGGGGTGGTTCCACCTCTCCTCCAGCTGGGAAAGAGGGAGGGAGGGAAGGAAGGAAGATGATGGACAGATGGGTGACAGAACTGGCACAATGCAGCACATGTCCTGTACAAGGCCACCAAACCAATGTCCCATCCCGGATGAACTGCTGAGTACACCCCACAGCATCTTCAGGATACCCATTTTTTGCTGTCATTTGAAGTCACATTTAATCCAGAATTCCTACAGAAATCTGCAACACTTTTGGTCTTGCTCTGAGTTCCTTAGATTGACATTGATTCTGCCATTCACCCTTGTGCTGGACAGGCTTTGTGCTCTGAAAATTTAGAAAAGTGATTTTCTACATTTATTTTGCAATTTGCAGATCAGTTTGAAGTTCCTCAGCTTACAGGAACAAGCAAGCTAAATTGTAGGTCTGGTCTGTTCCCCACCAAGCAATTCCTGTAATCTCATTTTTATTACTCACTCCCCACTTAGGAAGTGTTTAACAGGCAGATAAAATCTAACACAATGAATCTCTATGAAGAAAACAGTGAAATCTCATGTGATGCAGATGAAAATGACATTTTGGGGGGAGATGTTTGAGAAAAGAACAATTTTTTGTGCTATTTTTACTGCGAGAAGGTGGGAGGGGGCATTACCAGACACCCACACTGAGTGCCAGAGGGGCTGTTTGCAGAGCCTTGTCTACAAGTGTCATCGGGAGAATGCTGCCAAAAATACCCTGAGATGATGAGTTTAGATACAATTCCACCCCCAGCACCTGCCCAAACACTGGCTCCTGCAATTTGGGAAGCAGAGAGACAAAGAATGTGCAGGGGGTGCCAAGGCCAGCCGAAACACCAGCAAGAATTCAGCCTTTGGAGTTTGTTTTCCTCACTTGAGGGATAGTCAAAAAAGAGCTGTCTCAAAAAGAGCCTCAGGGAGAACACATCCTGCTTATATTTTAGAATTTTGACTGCCACAAATCGATTGTGAAGTATCTTCCCAGAGAGGAAAAATACACAAGGAGCTTAATCCAGGGGATATGAGGCTGCTGAGAGGAATGAAAGCAGAGCTGGGCAGGGGCTCCTGTGGACTTTAACCCTTGGAACTCTCCTTATCCCCAAGGGATTTTTAAGTGAGTTGTGAGGTGGTGTCAGGGTCCCTGTGAGGAGTTGCACATCCCTGTGTAAGCTGGGCTAGGGAAGGTGTCCCTGCCACGGCAGGGGCTGGATGAGCTTTAAGGTCTCTCCCAGCACAGACCAGTCTGGGATTCTGGGACTGTAATTACAGCCTGTGCTGTCAGACCTGAAATCATGCAGCTGAAGGTTTTGAAAGTAGCTCATGGAAAATAATCTGTGCTGTTTCTTCCACCTTTTCCTGCTGCCATCCCTGGATAGTGATGATGTTAGTGCCACGAATCTTAGGCAGTGCAGCAGATGCTGGTGTTGGATTTCCATGCCATGGGATATCCAGGGATCTGCTGGACCCAACACAATCAGCTCATCCCTTGTGCTTCTGAAGGAGTCCCACAGGTGCTGCCTCTGAGCTGATCCTGCTGCAGTAACACAAAATTCCAGCCCCTGCTCCCCCTTCCAGAGGTTTTACAGCAGGCAGGGGCTGTGATTGCAGCAGCCCCGAGCACTCAGCATGCAGGGCCCATCACTCTCCTCATCTCAATTCCCCATCCTACAATCAGGTGGAGCAATCAGGTGTCCTGAATATTTTTAGAATCCCTGGTTGTGTTGCTTTGCCTTGGATTAATGACCTGCTCCCCACGCTGTGCTGGGGCTCTGGGACAGGCCCCCACCCTGCTCCCAGGCAGAGGTGTCATTAATTAAAGGATCACTTGCAGAGATGGAAAATCACTGAGGGGCTGTGAGGGAAGCAAAGGTTTGGTAGAGTTGTTTTTTTTTCCCTTCACAGTTGCTGTGGCCGGATGGCTTTAATGGAAAGAAGATAAAAATGTCATCTCAGTGGGTGGGTGTGATGGAATCACCTGACACTTGTGTCCTCTTCCAGCAGAGTCCAGGAAGGGAAGTGAAGAACACAGAGTTTCACTGTCACTCTTGGGGCTGAACTGGATGTATGAACAAACAGCTCACACAAGGAACTTCCTTCTCTGTTCCAGTGAACAGCCAGGAGCAGGTTGTGATGACTCTCAGCTTCAAAATTGTTCTACAAGATTCTTCTCGTTGATTGTCTCTCAATTTGAGCTGCACTTCTTGTTTTTAATAATTTGGAGGCGTGGTTTGTACCCCTGGATGGGAACAGCCTCCTGAGCATCCCAAGGCACACAGAGAAATTCTCCTTGCTCTGAGCCTGAGCAAACAGCCATCAGTCTGCCTTTCCCAAGGAGACAACTTCCTGAGAAGTGCCTGGCATGAACATTGACAGACCGGAGCGGGAGGGAGGGCTGAGCAAGGCCAGAGCAGATGTGTTCACAGCTCCAGACTAATCTCTGCAGCTCAGGCAGTGCAGCGTGTCTGTCACTGCTGCAGAGCAGAGCCCGTCAGTCTCCAGCGCTCCCGATCCCCCAGGACAGAGCTGCTCTCCTCGCCCTGCTGCCAAGTGCCAAAGTTGTCTCCTGGAACCCTTCTTTCCCAGCTCCCATTGCACACTGGATTTAAGCCCTGCATGGATGAAAGAGCCAATGACACAGCTGGGAATTACTGTCTTCCCCTTGGCACTGTGCTAAATTTGGTTTCTTCTCT